AGATGGAGATTGAGATGCAGCATATGTGCAGGAACTCACCTCGCAGAAGTTCTTTTGCAGCACGATCTGGGAAATGAGGCGACGACTCTCCCGCTGGCCAAAGTAACTTTCGATGGTGTGTGGTGACAGGGCGAAGATCTCCTCGCCGGTAAGCGTGTGCAATCGCTTGATGATGATGTCCGAGAATCCCTTGCCCCGCAGCCACTCCTCCACCTCGCGTGGCTTTGAGTTCTGGGTGATGAAGATTTCCGGCGTCTTAAGGATCTCGAGGTCCTTGCGCCTCTCCCGCTGCTGCAGCAAAATACGCAGTTCGTCGTTCACATCATCCTGCATGTAGTAGGCGTGGTCATCTGCCTCGCAATCATTGCGGGCCCGCATGGCTTTTAAGTAAATGACATAAGTTAATATTATTATGTTTTCCAGTTACTTATGCACCCACCTGCTAGAGCTCCTGCCGCCGCCATGTTGCGCTTGAGGGTGCCACTGGGCGTGGGCGGCTGGCTGTCACTTGGTGGGGGCATCGGTGGTGGAACGGGCACGTTGGGCATCGAGAAGGTGCGCTGCATTGCCTTGCCATTGGCCGCCGGCTGCTCCACGGGAGCGGTATACATGGCCATGGTGTTGCGGTACTGCGGAGGACTCACCTCCTCGCCGCCGTTCTCCGTCAAAGCCATGGAGGCCAGCGACTCCGTGTCCCGGCCATTTACTCCCGGCTCAAAGTTGTATGGCGTGAGCACTGTGTGCGGCACGTAGCCAATGTTTCCGTACGAGTTGCGGGCCTTCCACCAGTTGCGCGAGTCATCGATAATCTGGGAGTCAGACGAGTTACATGAAAGTTATACGGTCTGTTATCGGGTTGATAGGGTTCTAAGACCGCGTAATTGGGGAATCGATAAGATTGGTACCCACGTATAGCAAACCTGGTATACAGTATACAAATAATCAATGTTTAGTAATTGTATACCTAGTTTTTGTGTTGAGAAAGGTGTCACTGACCTCTCTATTAGTAAGACATCTCAACTAAAACTTAGGGTAAGTCCCAGAATTGAACATTACTGAGTCAGATTTCTTTACTGTCTAAGAATTTTCCTATCTTAATAACCAACATTTATCTAAAGCTTTTTATAGCAGCCACATTCCAAAACAAAAGATTAATATAAAAGTAAAAGACCTGTGCCTAATATGATGTCAAGTGATTCAGTTTACACAAGTGGACGTATGTACCTACATATATTAACAAAACTGGATTGACTCCTGAAATGATTGCCTCTTATATACATAGCATACGTAAGCAAACGATTTTAAATGCTAAGTCGCGTTAAATCATATGCAAATCTTAATTAAACAGGCAACTTGCAAATGGGATCATTTTCGTGAAATGTTCTGAATGATAATAACTGACATTTATTTTTACGTATTAGTTACGTACCTCCAAATACTCTCCCTTCGAAACCTTCAGTTCCTTCTCGTTGGTGCTCGACTTATTGAAGGCGACCTCTGCGATCTTCACGTTCCGGCTCTCTAATCTGCTCAGCCAGGTGCGATTCCCTAGACCTGGACTCGGTGGCACTGGAACCGCCACCGGCGAAGGCGTTGTGCTCTTCTTCAGTGCAGGAGCCAGGTACGGCACCTCCTCATCCACCACCCAATCGGGAGACCAATCGTCGTAGAAGATCGGGTGATAGGAGCTCTTGTGATCCTTAAACTGATCCTTGGGCACAGTCCAGTTGGGGCCGAGGCTCTGCCACAGCTGCTTCTCGTTGGAGTCCAGAATGCCGTTGAGGAAGGCAATTGTCTCGCGGCGCAGAAGGGGATTGACCACCGCCTGCGGCAGACCCGCATCCTCGTAGATATCGTTGCAAACGGTGACGATGGACTTAAGCGAAATGAAGACATTGTGCACCGGATCGACGGGCTTGGCGAATTGGTTCTGGAGCCGAACGGAGTATATCAGGGCAAGTTTCACCTTGGCCAAGATGTCATGGAACTCGCTCTCGATCGGAGGTCGCGATCTCAGTACCAAAAGCCCCTCACCGTGCGGATTATGCTGCTCCTTGCGCAACTTGAGCTCGTTGAGGGCCTCGGCGGCGTAATGAAGCCGCGCCATGAACCTCTCGATGTCCTCGAAGCAGTGGTTTATCACTTGGACATCCCGCTCGGTCTGCTCCTTGTCCAGGGCATTCTTCTCCGCTGCTATTCCGGCCACTGCTGCTGCTATGCCATACTGATCCTTGGCCTGCTGGTTCTGGGGCCTTTCCGGCTTGGGCAGCACAATGGGTGTCTTGTTGCGATCCACTGTCACAGGAGTTCCCTTGCTCAGCTGGAACAGCAGGCGAATTGGATTATAGAGATCGGGATTAATTTCAGTTTGCAACTCACCGTCTGCAGATCCTCGACCAGAAGCACTGAACTGACATCGGCCACCTACGAATGATCTAATTATTACATATCTCTAAGCGCTGGAAAGTCGCGGTTCCCCACCTGGAAGATGTGCATTTCGGTATTGCCCAGTGAGATTCCGGGCACTGAGAAGATGAGGATATTGTTGAATGACTCCTGCGGATCTTCGCTTATGAAAGCCGTGGGCTCCGTGATCAGGCTCCCCGGAAAGTTCTCGATCTCCTTCATGTCACTGTCCAGCATCACCAGCCACTGTCCATTGAAGCTCATGAACATCTTGTGCGGCCAAATGCCCCCGGTCTTTTCCAGTTCGACCAGAAGCTTCATCTTCTCCTTCGGCTGCTTGACCTCGGCCTCGTTCTTCAGCTTAAAGGTGGCCAAGTGCTCCAGGGCATATGTGGGCTTGACCTCCTCGTATTGCCCATTCGACTGACTCCCGCCAGGGACTCCATTTTCGTAGCCGTTTTGTGGCATCCTGAGAAATAAGGAAGTGTGCACTCAAGATAACTATCGTTTTCTATAATTTGCTGGTTCTTTCCATTGAACTGCGCAGTTCTTGTTTTGTTGATAACACTACATTGCAAATAATGCCTGGCAGAAAGGTGATTGTCAATGACTAATTGTATAGCAAATAGTAAATAATAGTGTGTTCTGCATCTTTTACATTCAAGAAATGCAAGTGCAGGACTAACTCGAAGATTTTTTTTATAATTTTTATTTTATCCAGTTAAGCACCGGGTGTTCCGAATTGCCACTTAGGTATACCGAAGTACTCGTTTGATAGACAGGCGGTGACAATCTATGCACCCATCTGTGGTTTAGACTCCTGTCCATCAGGCTTGATATTTACCCATACTTGACCGAAATGGGTCGGAAGTATTTCAGGGTCCTATTGCCTGCTTTGACCATTCCGGCGGTGTGGAATCAAAGCGTTCTGGTAAACTATTGATTCCGAATGGGCAATGCGAATCAGATAGATAGCTACCTTTAGATACCTTTGCATTCGGAAACACATAGGTACATAGAACAGTACCTATTTCACCTGTGTGGTAGCCACCTGTCCGATTAGATAAACGCAATTGGCACTGTGTTCGCGATTGCCTCTTTTTTCAGTTTGCTGGCCTTTTTTATTTTTGTAGTTATCACAAGCCAGGAAATTCTTCGCACATGAAGCCATCATTAATGGTAGCGTATTACATAAGGACTCGAATATAAGAGTTAATCGCGTATTTTTAGGCCGTGATCGTGGGTCACTTATTTACCGCCATCGTCTGGCTGGCAGCTGTGATTCGAGATTTATTTATTGCTTTCACTGGCATGACATCAGATCCTAAGATACAGATGTCTGTACTCTATCTTTGGTATCTTGATTTACGGGCTTGGAAGAACCGATGGGTTACCTTGTACTGCCCACTGTGCTCTTTATTTATTTATTTGCTCTTTTTCCGACCCAAACTAGCACTCTCGACCCGCTGCGAATCGAATTCCAACTCCAACTAACTGACGTTGGCTGGCCCAAAGGGAATCGGGGATATCAGCTGGCTCATTAATTGATTGCCTGAAATTGCGATGGTGCGTTATCGCAAAAGCAAAAGTGTGCTTTATCTCTCGGTGTTCAATCTTATCTGGGAGCAGAGAAACGAATACAAATACCATTCCCTATGAGAGAGTCTGCTGCCGTTGGGCCTTGATTTTGATATCAGCCCACAATGGGACCGTAGGAAATGGTCAACAGTTGACCCTGAGGCCACCAACAAATCGAACTCTCAATTATAGATAATAAGGCTTACAAGGAATTTTCTACAGTTTCATGAACTCATTTCTAGCACTCGCTGCATACTGGCATGTTGCGCAGTAATACCTTAACAGCTCGAGTTAAAATCGAGTCTTGAAATAATACTTAAGTATGTATTTTCTATCACAAAAACGCATCGCTGTGATTATTTTGAAAGACAAAGAAATCATTCAAATACTTCGATGGAAAACAGTCTTATGACTATTTGTCACAATCGGAAATTAAAATAATTTATGTCATGCGTGTGTGCATAATTTCGATCAATTAAAATTTAAATCTACATACAACTTATTCCTTATCATATACCATTATCATATCCAAGTTATGTATGCTGCTTATGAATCATTCCCAGCCTAACAAAGTCCTTTATCATAAATACCGAACTTTAAAGCAATGCTGCTTAGGGTCTGAGGCAACTATTTTATGCGTTCATTGGGCAATAACTTTTATTGGAGCTAATTGTGACATTCTTGCCGTTTAATGAGGTTTGGCCACTATTTCACGTAATAACAGAAAAAAGCGACCCTCATTGCAGTTCAAAATGGGAATCGTTCAAAATGGAAATACACGTATCGCACTGGCCGCAACACTTTCTGCAACAGCTTGGAGTATAGTAATATTGCGTGACTTTGGCGATCCGCTTCTGAGTTGAGAGTTATCAAAAGTGTCAGCCAGATAATCGATCTGTAATTCCATGTCTATTTAGACATAACGATATAGGTATACAAGCCGATCTATCTGTAATTCGATGTTCCCTTAGGCAAACGTATAGTCAACAAGCAATATAGCAATACGCTCATAGGAATCAAGATGTTATTGAGGTATTTAATGAGTTTTGGCTCTTATACAGTTTTTTGGTTTGGAAACAATCTTAAATTGGCTGCGAAGTGTGAGCGGCGTTGTGTTGTCACCCTCTAGACGTCTTCACAAGAGACCATTTGATTACTGTAAGGAAACACGAAAAAAAACAATCATTAAGGTGGCAGGTAATTTTTGTTGCCGAGCTTATCACTTCGGTACTCAGAATAATATCAAATGGGAATCAAATTGTGTACAGGCTGTGACTCAAGCGGGTGACAGGTGATCTATTATGATTTCCTTTCCATACTAACCTGGTCGATGGCAACTGGAAGATATTCTGGGGAACAGCTGAAAGGCCGGAGCTCAGGCACAGTAGTTGTGTTCCATTGAAGTGGCGATATTGCTCCACCAGTTGCTTGTGTTTCAGAGCCGCTTTTTGCTCGTTTTGCTTCAGAACATGTACGAATTGCTCAGCTATAAAGAAGTATTTTAGAGATCGGTCTGCATTTTACAACAGGATAACTCATACAGATGATGCAGCTGAAGGTGGGGCCAACGGATCCGTGAACAGGCTTCTCCGAAATTCCACCCACAATGAGGTCCACATCAGCCCAACTGGCGTAGATTGTTTTCAGCTTATCCAAAACCTTGTTGAATGAATATTTTAAAACCATGCTAATTACAATACAGTAGTTAATAAATAGAAACCCACATCACTTGGAATAAAGTGCTCAAAATCTTTCCAGCTCTTTACGGGTTCGGACAGGACACACGATTCCAGGTACCGATGGTATGGCAGCAGACCGTGATCTCTGCCCCTTTGGATATCGAAGGCCAACATATCGGCATGGGTGGGTCTGGTGTTATTGTGCCAGACGACCTGTCAGTTAAAATGTTAAAATATGATTGGGATGGGGATCTATAAAATATCAACATCGATTTACTTACACCACCGGAGTAGGCAGCATCCATCTTCATGGTCTGCTGGTTGAGTAAACTCTCAAGGATGTTATTCAACTTTTGGGAAGTGTACTGCAACTTGGGCTTATAGATTTCTTCCTTGAGCTCAAACAGGTTTTTAGTTGGTAGCTCCTTGCTAATAAACACATATTGGTTGTTCCTGGAGAAAAATGTCATGTTAATAAAATAACAAGGTAACTACTGATTTCTTTGGTAATCTAAAGAATGATAAAATGGGACAAATGTTTGTATGAAAATAAGTGGGCCAGATAATTTCCAATTAATCCGACCAACTTGTCTATATAAGAAGGTAGCACCTACTTTTCAGTTCCATAGACTACGTTATCCTTGGTCAGATTTTGGAGCTCATTGGGCACCATTGAGAAGTAAAAGCGAATGGCAGCCACCGCAAACTCATTGAAGACCCCCAAAGCAGGATTACTTTGCCTCCTCCTAATCTCACTAGCCAACTTCGGGCCGAGCACCTCGGGAAGCCACTCCTCAATGACCACTCGACGATAGATATCCACATTGATCGCCTTGGCTGCCTGGAAGAGCTTTTCATCGCGCCACCGGGGATTCCTATGATGCAGCTCGGCAGCCACTCTGTTGTGGTTGCGCAGGAAGATCGTGTAGATCAGTATGGAGAACGGACTGCTGTTCACCCGCGAATCTCCGGCAGCAAAACAGATGCCATCTCCGATGCTTTCCGTGGCGCAGAAGGAAGGTCCTTCCGTATCGGTGGCAGTGGGCAGCAGGGCGTTGACGAACTCTCCGCGTTGAGTTGACCTCAAAAAACCGCCCTCCAGAACCCGCAACTTTCTCTCCGCTGCTGCCGTGAAACCGTAAAGTTGCGACAGGTCCAAGGACCCCGTGGCCTGGTTGAGCTACATACATACATATAATTTTATTTATTTTCAGGTGGTTTTTCACCATTGAATTCATCTCACCTGCTCGGCGCCGCCGAAATTGCAATTATCCACGGCCAAAGCACTTCTCACATAGTTGAGGCAGCTGGGCACGTTGTATTTCCCAGCGGGCTGGTACAGAATCGGAGCACATGCCGGGTGGTGGTGACGCGGCTGAAGGTTGATCTGGTCACGGCTGCAGCACTCTATCGGAGCTCCATTGCCTGGGAACGGATAACTCATTAGTAAGTTTTTACTTAGCAAAGTAAATATAGATTGTAATTTAATTATAAGTATATATCAAGTCAACATGGGATGTTGATATCCGGGATCCAGGAGTTCTGAATATATGATGCACTTTGTTTAAGCTATTCTGAGTATGGATTAGCACAGGTCAGTAAAGGTAATGATAAGAAACTCACTCATTGATTGCGATACCGGCTTGCTAAGATCGTGCTCAACAAACTGCGCCCACTGAGGGAGGCCCAAATTGGAGTTGCCTTCGACGGTTTGTTGCTTGGAGGTCTGTATGCTGTCGGGCTCATATAGGTCCTTACTGATGGACCAAGCAGCCGGCACTGTTTCACGTCTTCCGGAATTGGGAAACATCTGCAAATACCATCGAATTCCATTTCAACATCCTGTTTTTCTGGGCAAAACGCACCTTATAGAAACCGTCCCTGTAGTGGCTGCTCCCAAGTAGCCTCCTGAAGGCATGGTGACCCTCCCCGTTTCCCGTGAGCGAGTTTTCACACTCGGTGCGCAAACTACTGCCCTCGGGAAGTGGTTTTTTCTCCAGGTAACTGCGGCACGCGTCTTCATCGATTTCATTAGGCAGGCATTCGCTGTTAAAAACGATCAAGCTGGACTTTAGGATCTTCAGGGCGAGCTTATTGTCCTTCTGTGAAGCTAGGCTTGGTAAAGTGTCCAGGAGTTGAGCGTGTGACAGGCTACCGTCCTTAACAGTGATATCGGAACCCAATAGATTGTCCTCCAGTCTGAAAAAATTGTATAGAAATACAATAGTGAAAAATAAACCAATTCAAATTGACATGTTTATATGTAGTTACGGTCAGAAAAGTCACATCCTAAACTTATCAGCGTAAGTCATTAAAGTTAACTGGTTTTCAAAGTAATCAGTTTACAAACCGTGTTTGCCTATTTACTGAGTCCAACGCTGTTTCTACATATTGCAACCATTTCGAAGCAGGAATCCTGTTTAATTCGGCACTGACATCCCGGCTTGCTGAAGATTTGTAAAATGATACAATTTAAATGGTTAAATCTCAGCGCATACAGATAATTTAATTTTCATTGTTAGTATTTCTTTGGGAATCTCAACTTCTAGGCGCCGTTTTAGGTAATTGGCTCATTTAAAGAATGATTTATATCTACGGAATAATAGAATTGTTCTGGAATATTCCCCAAATTAGGACTTGTCAACACATTAATCAAGGCAATTTAAAAGTACTATATCAAAGGTTAAGATACAGGAAAAAAATTGGCTTTTATAAATGTTTACAAAACGGTCGGATCTTTGTTGAAAGTGTGCATCCCCCAATAAAGAGAAATTTACCTGACTACAGTATGCTAATTTAAATGAATAAACATCAATTAGTTCTCACGCTTATAAAAACCTATTTGGATCCGATCAGTAAACAATTGTTGATTGGGTGAATTCTTTTTCAGCGATAAGCCATCAATATATACGGACCTTAGGCTGAGCTTTTGGAATTTATTGGAATCTTTATCAACAAGTATAAGCAAATGGGGTTTTTTAAATGTAATATTTTAGAAATGTTTACAACAATAAACAAATGTGGAAAACTGGTAAAAACAAATGCAATCATTCATGATGATATAACGCTTGAGCTCCGACCATCGTTTACATTGCACTCGTACGAAGATGGAAAGTACATTTCACATTGAGTAGCAAAACAGTTCCCCATTTCTATATTAATTCTTAGTAATATCACTTAATTATAAGCTAGATAGTGCGTGGCTTTGAAAATTTGGTCGCCAAGAGACGACCAGCCTCCGTTTTATGATGGTCTTCCTGCTTATCAATAAAATATTTATTAACTTCAATAAAGTTTTTATTATCATATTAAACCGAAAAACAAGCTATAACATTAATAGGCTTCCTTCTATTTGATCAACATTTCTTTACGAAGAAGATGCTACGTTACGGGTTTCTCTCAAAAGAAATTAGCATACGCTTGAGATACATGACACCAAAAGAGTTTAACTTAATTATTGCTATCAGACTTACATTTTGCATTGCTTGTTGTCAATAATGATGCTCCTATTATGAAAGCCAGCAGGCAGATGTACTGAATGCCACCCATTGCTGTGTTCTTTGTTCTAGAACTCGGGTTTTTCAGCCACCGTTTGTGATTCACAAAATACCCGCTCGTCAATGGAATTTAAGTCACGTCGCTAGCTTGTGATAAGGAAGTGATCCGAAATGCGGTTCTATCGGACCTAATCCGTGTTTTCCGTCCAATTAAACCGTGCCGACGGCTCAGCGATTCGTAGACTACTGAGCTTGGGGGCAAATCTCAACAGAATCGAGCCGATGAGAATCAGTTGGGTCGTTATCACGCACAATGGAACCTCATTATCTCGATAATCATCATCATCTGGGTGACTGGCGACTCTCTCAGCGGATGAATAAAATCGTACAAACGTAAACAAATGTTATTTTTGTTTGGGCTTGGTGAATCAAACCACCCGTACAAAGCCGAACCAACACTAACGTAATATGCAAATGAAAACCTCACCTGGGGGATTCCGTTTTGCCCACGCCTTTGCTCGTCCACCTACTGATAAATGTAACGTATGTATGTAAGGTGTAAGCTTTTATAAGCAATTTTTAACGCCTGAGTTGATTATGTTGTCCAACCGATTGTTTAAGTCTACCGCCAGACTCGGCATTTCCGATAGGCTGAACCAGTGGTTCTCTAGTTCCGGCATGAAACCAGTTCGTTGATTGCATTACCTAAACATATCACCTACAAAATTTCATTACTTTTACAAATGCAAATGAAAGATGTTCAGTTGGTATTACTCTACAAGCATTGCATTTAAAAATTTTAATTTACATAAAAATGTAAATGAAATAGAAGGAAAAATGAGTTCTTATTACTATCGTGAACGTAGTGAAAATATCGATGGCGGTGGCAACAGTCCAACCATCTCTACCGGCAATTGTTCCATCCCTATTTCTTCCACCTCTAATTTTCGCCTAAACAAGCATTATCTCGTTTTTGAAACAGCAATTGGATTTTATCTATAAAAGAAGACGATTTTACCAGCCATGGCAACTTTAGACGCGGAAGCCACAGATGAGCAATTCGGCAACGATCAGCCCAAGTCGATGTCGGGTCCAATCATTGGGATAATCTATCCGCCGCCGGAAGTCAGAAGCATCCTTTGCCAAAAAGAAAACAAAACCTTTTTCCCATTTTAACTACTTTTACCGAAAATACATTGATATAATGCACATTTAACGTTTCCCATACTCAGTTACCAAAGCTTTAACTATTAGATATCGTTGACAAGACCGCCAGTTTTGTAGCTCGCAATGGACCGGAGTTCGAGGCGCGTATCCGTCAAAATGAGCTGGGCAATCCGAAGTTTAACTTCTTGAATGGCGGAGATCCTTACCACGCCTACTACAGACACAAGGTCAACGAGTTCCGCGAGGGCAATGGTATGTTTTGGTACACTTCCCTCGCTTTCCTGTTTGTACATGAGATCTTCACGCCCTTTAGATGCCGGTATCACTGCCATTGCCAACATGAAGCAGTTGGCGGTGACCAGTGCCGCCCAACAGCGCCAGCAAGAGCTTCTCAAGCAAGTGGTGGAGCAGCAGTTCGTACCAAAGGAACCACCGCCGGAATTTGAGTTCATAGCTGATCCGCCTTCCATTTCGGCGCTGGATTTGTATGTGTTCAATTGCCAAATAATTCCAACACATGTCTTATCGTTTTGCATATCTTTCCAGGGACATTGTGAAGCTAACCGCCCAGTTCGTGGCCCGTAATGGTCGCCAGTTTTTGACCAATCTTATGAGTCGGGAGCAGCGTAACTTTCAGTTTGACTTCCTGCGACCCCAGCACTCGCTCTTCCAGTACTTCACCAAGTTGCTGGAGCAGTATACCAAGGTATTAATACCACCGAAGGATCTGCTGGGCAAACTGCGCACCGAGAGCGCTCCGGGCAGGAGCAGCATGAACCAGGTGCTGGATCATGTTAAATATCGGGCCAACTGGCAGCGCCACCAGGAAGCACAACGTCGCCGCGAGGAGGAGAAGATCGAAAGGGAGCGCGTGGCCTATGCTCAAATTGATTGGCACGACTTTGTTGTGGTGGAGACGGTGGACTATCAGCCGTTCGAATCGGGCAACTTTCCGCCACCTACGAATCCTGACGAGGTGGGTGCCCGTGTGCTTATGGAGGAGCGTCTAATGGACGAAGTGGCTGATACAGAAATGCAGATCGAGTCCGACGATGAGGGTGACTCCCATGTGAACAGCCTTTTGGACAGCGGTCTAAAGCTGTCGCAAATGGAGAATCGTGTGGGTATTCAAATGAAGAACGTATCGTCCTATGGCCAGCCGGCTGGCGCCAAGAGAGACAACAACCAGGTGCAAGACATGGACGAGGCCTCTAGTGATGAGGACACTCCAACCACTAAGTTGCAGCCAGCTGTGGCGCCAATGCTGCCGCCCACCCACGACAAAGTGGTGGTCAAGAAATACGATCCCAAAGCATCGCAGCCGAAGCAGGCGCCTATGCCTACAGATGAGTATCTCATCTCACCGATTACTGGCGAAAAGATCCCGGCTTCCAAGGTCTCGGAGCACATGCGCATTGGTCTATTGGATCCACGCTGGGTGGAACAGCGCGACAAGCATACTGTGGAGAAAATCAATCAAGACAATGTGTTCGCCGCGGGCACAGCCATCGAGGCAAGTCTCAAGCAACTGGCTGAGCGCCGTACGGATATCTTTGGTGTGGGCGATGAGGAGACCGTCATCGGTAAGAAGCTCGGCGAAGAAGAGACAAGGAAGGACGATCGCGTCACCTGGGACGGACACACGTCCAGTGTGGAGGCGGCCACAAGAGCCGCCCGTGCAAATATTACGCTGGAGGAACAAATTCATCAGATCCACAAGGTTAAGGGACTGCTGCCCGACGAGGAGAAGGAAAAAATCGGACCCAAGCCAGTGGGCAACAAGGCGACGCTTTCAGCTCCGCCGCAACCGTCTACCAAGTCGCAGCACAGTCACTCCAGCCAGAGTCAACACCACCAAGGTGGTGGTGGTCATCACGGTCATCATAATCCTCATCATCACCATCCACCGCATCAGCAGGCGCCACCTCACCAGTCGCACCACCACCACCCGCCGCAGCAGCCTCAGCCGGTGATGCAGCTGATGCAACTGCGTCCACCCATGATGCGTAAGTAACAAATAGTATTCAACCCGCTTCGAGGGCTTAGTGTTTTTATTTTGCAGAGCCGCCGTTTGGAGCTGGTGGTGGAGGCTACATGAACATGCAGCCTGGTGGAGTCCCTCAGCAAATTGCACCTGCTCCACCTGTTGATATAATGGAGGAGGAGCCACCTTCTAAAAAGATTCGAAGCGAGGATAACCTGATTCCAGAAGCAGAGTTCATAGCCGCCCACAAGGCAAGTTTAACTTGGGAAATGGACATGGTATATAATTGATTGGTATATAACCCCTTTTATGTTATTTTAGAGCCCCGTGACCATTCAGGTTTTGGTACCAAATTCCGATAAATCAGAGTGGAAGCTTAATGGTCAAATGATAGCTGTGACAATGGCACTTTCCGAACCCATTGCCAATCTGAAGACAAAGCTGCAGGACGAAACTGGCATGCCACCGGCCAAGCAGAAGATCTTTTATGAGGTAAGAAATACAACTTTTCAGAAACCTATTATTGCAACACCACTTTTTTTCAGGGAATGTTCTTCAAAGACAGCAATACCATGGCTTTTTACAATCTTGTAAACGGAACCACAGTGCATTTACAGGTCAAGGAGCGTGGTGGACGCAAGAAGTAGGATGATCTAAGAATAAAGTAATACCGGACACAATGAGTGGACCATATATAAAAATGTATTTGTATATGGTGTCGCATAAATTTGTAATAAATCGTCAATCACAGAATTTGTTAATTGCACTTTAGTTCTGTCAATTCCAGGACACTTCAAAGAAGGAATCGGTTGGTGATTTCGGGAATGTACGGAGTAAAAACTGGAATGTTACGTTCGGCTTTCGGAGAGTTTATGTGCTTGGATTGGACAGGATGCGCGCCATTTCGCGATATCGCAGTAGCATTGGAGCGTAGATTTCCTCGCTGTCCTTGTGTGGTTCACAGACAAGGTTCAGCTTGTTGCTTGTCAGACTTAGGATATAATCTCGGTAACAGAGAGGCGTCTCCTCTTCACCCGCCTCATGAAGGTACAGAGTATAGGCGGCTCGGTAAGCGGCTCCTAGTAGGGCGGCCTCATATCCTTCGTCCTGCAAGAAATATGCGGTCTAAAAAACTTGCACTTGACGAACAGTTTTAGTCAACCCACCTGGATATGGACGGGAGCATTGAACACATCGGCAATTGTTTGCAGGATGGATTTGTTAACAGATGCCCCTCCTGTAACAAGGATTTGGGTCTCGGGTCCGAATTCGTAGCCAAGATCTTCAGCCACAGCCCGGTGATGCAGCATCTGGCCTTCAACTAGGGCTCGAATTTCGATTTGGGGCGAGCTGAATCTGTTAAGCAAAAGAGGTCAGAATTTGTATTACATTTTAAAGAATTAAATACAAGTTGTATGGGCATTAAGAACCAAATTAGCAGGTGTCTTCGAACCGTAAACGACGAAAATATGAACACCTCGATATTTCTCGATGTAAAAAGTCATTTCTAAAAATAACTATTTACATTATGATTATGAGTCATGGAATTCATGTCTGGCCTAAAACAGCTAAATAATGTTTAAAGTCGGACTGACGTACTTTATAACACCCCTAGCGGCCTCCGGAGAACTGGGATTCATTTCCTTATTCCATCGCAGAATGCCCTGCGCCTTGGGAATGATTTCCATATCGTTAAAGTGTACTGCCATGTTCCCAAAGTTTCCACGTGGCGTGGAGTCGAGATACTCATTGAATTGATCCCAATTGCCGCCGGTTGTCTTCTTGTTCATTTCCTCGCGGACCAATGAAGCATTTCTAAAACTGAAAAAGGATATTTTAATATACTCATTGTAAAGTTTTATGTGGCTGGGCTTATTTACCATAGAAGGCCCATGAATTCTTCCGTTTGGGTTGGATGACAGAGTACATGACCCTCTTCCCAGTTTAGCGGCTCCTTAAAGCTCATCATTAGGGTGTCACTGGTGCCCAGGGAAATGGTAAGCCAGGTGCTGCCGACCAACATCCCAGACAGCGCCGACGGATTGTCCCCCGTGCTAGCAGCCACTTTGCAATCGGGCGAAAAACTAAAGCGCTCCACAAAGTACGGGGCGACGTTTCCTAAAATCGTATTGGGACTGACCGGATTGTCCAGGCGCTTGTCCAACTCGGGTGCACAGACATTCAGGCATTCTTTGGACCAGTTCTTCTTGCGGATGTCCAGCAGATTCATGCCGGAACCATCACTGAAGTCAATTGGAGCGACAGAGCCCAGAAATAGCGATGATATAAAACTGCTGACCAATGAGATTCGGTTGGCCTCTTCGTAGGCGTGGCAGCGCTGCTGATATATCTTCCGGATTTGAGGACCCGTGAAGCGTTCGTAGCATTTGGAGCCCGTCAGTTCCACCATGTTAAGTTTGCCGCCAACGGCCATCTCCATCTCTAGGCACTGTTTGGTGGTGGTGGCGTCCATCCAAATTGGAGTACGATTCACCACAAAGGCGGAGTCGTC